GATACGTGAGCTAAAATATTTTTTGTAATTTTCCATTTTTATGACGAAAAATAAAGGAAAGAAGTCAAAAATAGTTGAAATAGCTATATTAAGCCTAAATTAAATATTTATATGCTAAAATATGAAAAATCTTGGGGAAGGTCAAAAATCACATGTCTACAATATCATCCAAACTTATCCAAAGGCTCGAAACATCGCAAATAGCATCAAAACCCAGAATCGAAGATCAAAATCATTCTATTAACTTTCAAACTTCGCGGAACACATTCGAATCCTAACATATCAACTCGAAATGAAACCACACTTTGCATAGAAGTTTCAAATGATAAAATAGACGTATTCCAAGTCTCAGAATAACAATCCAAACCTGATAACCTCAAAATCAAGTCATGGTTAAACTTATAAAATTTCTAAACCTTCAAATTGCTAACTTTGGACAAATAGTACCAAATCCTTCTACGAACATCCGCGTTCAAATCCGAATATATGTTCAAGTCCAAAACCACCATACTAACCTATTGAAACATTCAAAAGACGAATCTGAGGTCATTTACTCAAAATTAAAATTAGTCAACTCTTCAACTTAAAGCGTCTAAATTGAGAATCACTCTATCAAATCAATTCCAAACCACTCGAAAATCAAAACCAACCCTGCACGCAAGTCAAATACATCATATGAAGTTGCTCAAAGTCTCAAGTCACAGAATGTAATGCTAGAACTCAAAACGACTGATCGGGTCATTACATTCTCCCCCACTTATACATACATTCATTCTCGAACGTAGCAAGAATCATTCCAAAGTTTTCCAATTACTGTATAAGCTCGCCACGCACATACCCATGGGTGATCCCGCGTCACCACAATCTATATACTTGAAATCGATTTCTATAGTCGTGATTAATGTTATTGTGTTATTTTTTACTAGATTCGAGCCGTTTGGAGGTCGATTCGCATGAAAAGAGCTTTTAGGAGTATTGATTCACGTGCTTGGACGTAAGTAATATGTCAAAAAAAAATTCCGGCTCCGCACCAGTAAGGATGTATGATTCTTATGTAAAAGACAATTGCATAACCTAACTACTCATATTCATCAATTGCTCAATCTGATTATGGATCACTAAAATGTAGGATTCATGATTGATTAAAATTATCAAAAAGGAATGGATTAGAATCTAGTAATACTTATGTGTGACTTTGTTTCGGCTAAAACGAGTTAAAATTTGCTTCCTTAGCTTTAGAATTTTACATATATATTTTTTAGTGTTATCTAAGTGAACATCCAACTGTATTCATTTTGTTCCCCGCAATTAGCTACCATAATCAATTCAAATTGAATATACTGTATTAATGACTGTCTAAAGTTGGAGAAAAAAATAGCATCGTGACCACTTAAACTTGTACTCGTTTGTAAAGCCGATACATAAACTTACAGTTTTTCTATTTGAACACTCCAGCTTGACAGAATGAGTACTAGTAAATACATCTAGTAGAGCGTGTATATCAATTGCGAGACATGTACAACACGGTATATATTAGATTATTTATTACTTGACATGTGATTTGTGGTTCCCATTTTCAAATACTAAATCAACAAAAAAGAAGTTACAAATTAAAAACAGAAAAAAGAAAAGGAGGAAAAAGGCGTGACACTTCCTTCTTCTCAGTTCACCCACCTCCCTTTCTTACCTTATTCTTATTCTTTCTTCTCATTTCTCTTTTTCCTTACTGTTCTTTCTCTCTCTTATTCTGAATCAATTTCACAACTCCACTATGGTCATGATTAGACCAGGAAAAAAAATTTGAATTTTGGAATTTCAGAAATTCAATAGGAATCTATGGTTTTGAAACAATGGAGGCCGCTGAATACCATTGCAAATATCTGCCCTTTTTCGCTGTTGTTTTGGCAAAGAGATTCGATGATAGGGTTTTCTTCAGACCACCAGTGGTTTAGAGTGGTAAGTACTTTTGACCACCATGAAACTTAAATGGCTGCCACCTCTACTTCGCTAGCAACTAATCATAATCCCATCTTTTCTAAAACTCCAAAATCGTAAGATATAAGTAAATATACACAATCTTCATATCGAATTTTAGCCGAAATTAAAGTTTCTGTTGTTCTCTCTCCTCGCTTAAGTTGAAGAGAAGAAAGAGAGCGGAAATGAGTACTGACAGGCTAGGGGTCATTTTTTTCCTTTTCTTTTTTATTTTTTTAAATTTTTTTCCTACTGATTATAGTATTTTCTTTAATCAGATTATTGCATTCATGCGCATTTTCTGCGTGATTGATACACATTTTGTCCACATCACCTATGTCACTGCCACATAAGCATAGTCAATGATCAAAGTGATTTATTAATATTCATTTCGTCAAGTTAGAGTGTTCAAATGAAAAAACTAAAAGTTTATGTATCGATTTACAAACGGGCACAAGTTTAAGTGGTCACGAAGCCATTTCGCCTAAATTTTTATGTGAAATTGGATGGTTTAGGGTTTTAGGTGCACTTCAGATTTTTCATCTTATTCATTTACGTCATAATAACTTATTACATACCTTTATTTGCGCCGGTTTGATATTTCAGCTCCCCTGCTCTACGAGGTTTCATCCATACATATGAACTAATTCAAAATAAGTTTCTTTTAAACCTCTCTGCCACTCTTAATTTTACTGATGTCAGAATCCGCATCATATACGCCACATTATTTTTGTTTTCCCCAAAAAGTAAAAAATAACCTTGACTTTTCCCTTTTTTTGACTTTTTATTTATTTTTCTTTCTTTCTCCATCATTACTTTCTCCTTTATGCCACCCCTTCTCCACTCCTGTCACCATGGAACTGCTTTCTTCTGTCCCTTTTCTATTCGTTAACCCATTTCTCTACCTTATTTTCTCAAAACCTCCCTCTAAACAGATTCAGGATTATGTTTTGGCTAACAGCTCTCAAAATATAGATAAAACAGATTTGAATTTTATTCTATCTCTTTCTCGCCTTCTCTCTTACCCAAAACCCAATAAAATTTACTAGAACAATAAAAAACTTTATTTGCTCCTTCAGAAACTCATTGAAGTTGATCGAAAAATATTTCATGGCAGCGGATCATAAGAACCTTATTCTTGGGAAATATGGTGCTGTTGTGATGGTAGGCTAGGAACTCACGCTTTTAATAATATTTTGCACTCTAGTTACTACACTTTGATTGTATTTGAGCCTAATTATTAGTACTTGTACTTATTACGTGTGTTATGTTGTGTAGGATATGATTTCGAGTGAAGAATTGAGTTTAGAGATAAAATGGATGATTTGGAGCTTTGAAGTCTGAACATAAGCCTAAAAAATTAAGTCGAGATCATGTTCGGGGGTCGAGGACCAAGTCTGGAAGTCAAAAAGTGAGAAAAGATTATTCTGGAAAAAATGCACTACAGCGCCGCGGCGCGGGGCGCTAGTGCAAAGTTCCTGCAGAGTGTAAAAATCAACTCTTTGAACTTCTCCACAGGCGCACCGCGTGGGGCGGCATATCGCGCACCGCGTGGGGCGGCATATCATGCGCCGCGCATGTGCAAATTTTACAAAGTATTTCTCCTGCTTCGGCTTGAAAATGATAGTTTCGTCCGGTCCGTTCCTACTGGTATAAATACACCAAAAATAAGATTTTTAGAGGACTATCGACCTTGGAAGCTTTGGGAGAGCATTAGAGGCTACAAGACACAGAATTTATCATCTTTCCGTCAATTCAATACGGGGGTTTGGATTGTAACGTTAGATTGATGCTTTCTCACTCTTTAATTATATTTGTGATGACTTCCTCCATAATTATGGAGTAGCTTACCTTAGAGTTTGACATTATTTGGTGACTTGGTTGTTATTTATGGATTTAATTACCGCTTAATTGCTTGAATTTATTGGAGGAACTTTAATATAGTTGTGATTTTATTATTATAGTGTTTAATCGAAAGAGGAATATCTTATTGAATATTATTGCAGCGTATGACTTAGTTTATTTTGGTGATTCTTCGAAGTAATCGATAGAGCTTTTTGAGTTACCGTTTAAATTAAGATTGAGAAATATTCGCGAGAAGTTTCTCTTAGATCATTCCTACCAATAGAGTCTTGCAAGTTTCACCACACTTTACATTAGTTTATTTGAAAGATTTTGATTTAATTGAGAGAGGAATGTGATTTGGAAGTATAATTAAGCTAATCACCGATTGAATTCGTGAGAACCGATAGAACGTCAAGAGTGAAATAATAACAATCTTGCACTTATCATGTCAAATCATTTATTTCTCACATTGATAAGAAACCAACTCTGATAATCTCTAGTTCTTTGTAGTCAATTGTCAATTGCTTTATAGTAGTTAATCGTAGTTCGTAACCATTCCAATTAAGTTTTGATCATCCTGAATAGCAGTTAAACAAGGAATTACTAGAGCATTGCTTAAATCCAATCCACGTGGAGATGATAATCATACTATACTATCTTTGGCTAGCGAGCATCAATTTTGTGTTGTGTTTTGCGCTTGTCATGTTGGATTTTAAGGTGTAAATGGGATAATATTTTTTGGAATAATATACTATCTTGGAATAATATTTTTTGCTTAATTTCAAACACCAAAAACTAGAAAAATATTTTCCTTCGTACAAAACTAACTCTTAATCTTACATTTGGTTGTTCGTTTAAGATATAACAGCCAATAATATTTGAATTTTATATTATGTAAAATGTCAATATTTGTTCATGTTCTTGGAATTTTCCCATGACATTCTTTTGGGTTCTTTTTCATTTTTTCCTTCTAAAGAATGAAAAACAGTAAAATGTTTCTTCAAATCCACTTATTGCTTAATTATTTTTTTACTCATTTCAGTTATATTTAACTTAAGCTAGCTTAATTTCTACGTCAACATTCGATACATCACTCAGCAGTTAAGTCTTAAAAGGTTGCCTTACTTTTCTTAACTAGCTTGCTTGACTGATCATTCCAACTGAATACGTGGATAAAGCATCGACATTCAACTCTAACAAGATAAGTTCCTTCAAATTCATTACTTTCTCCAATCACACTGACACTGAATATGTTAGCCGACGGTCATTGATGGTAGAAGCTAGCTTTCTCTTTTCCATTGTTTCTCGCACTTGTTTGAATAAAATTAAGCCTGATGGTCCATTAATTAAGACGACCCCAACAAGGCATAAGACCTCTAGTTATTCAGCTAAGAGTAACTTCTTCTGTTCTCCTCATGTATTCGGATATCCACTTACATCAAGAATCATCCATATTAGGCTTCTTCTAACCAAGATCATTATACCTTTATTCTCCTTAATTTATTGATGTAGACAACTTTGAGTTCTCTCCTTGCATGTTTCACTATTGTCATTGAGATTTCTGTCGTAATTTGACAGGAAATCAGATCTTGATAGGACTTGTAGTTTGAACTGAGTTGATCATGTGGGGTTAATTAACTATATGTCCTATAGAATCTGTTGGTATCTGCCCACATAGCTGGTGTATTCATACCAGGGGCAGATCCAGGGGTGCAAGGGGGTTCTCCAGAACATTACATTGTATATACATGATCAAAATTAATTTATTATGTATATAGATGTTGAATCCTCTTGGCCTTTTCATGTATATACAAGATTAATCTTGACGAAAAGGTTGACAGGTACATATACAAACAGATTATCAGCAATTAATGTCATTTTACTATCTTCCTGTTTCTTATTCATGGAATTCAAGACATAGTTACCTCTTCATGCTGAACGGTATCCAATCCTTGGTGTGTTCCTCCGAGCCCACACTGATTTGGCTTCCGAATACATTTCTGAATAGATATCAACAGGTATAAGAATAAATTGTGCTATTCGTCAAACCCCTTTGCATCCAAAGTGTTTGGTGAATTCTCTTTTAGGTCCGTTTTAGAAACAAGTATTGAAATTAACTCATTTCCATCACGCACAAGGGATTCCTCAAAATTTTCAAAGGCACCTTTCAAGAGGCATGGATTTTTGGCCGAGATACTACACTAGTTTTCCTTTCAGATCTAAGGGACAACTGCATGGGATTAAAAAGGAAACAAATATTAGAATTGCTTGGCAGGAACGCATAAGAGTAAGTTGCTGATTGCTGAATATAAAGATAATTCATTCAATTCATGGCTTAGATCATATACTGACACTTAAAAGCGATCCGATATGACTAAATTTTCATATTGAAGTCCATACCTTATTAAACAATTCAACTGGTGGAAGCCTCTTATCAGGTGTAGATTTAGAATCCTGTGGAAGGATAGGATACAAGAGCCTCATATAACAAGAGAGAAAGAAAAGGTAAAGAAACACTTAATGAAAGATCTATCGAAGTAAACTAAGGAGTAAGTAGTATATTACAGTTGAGGTTATACTTGTTTCTCCAATGTTTTCACATATTCTAGTATCTTCACTACTTGGGAAGATCTGTATAAAGACATGATATGGTTTCACAATTAGCATATACCACAAACTCAAAAAGAAAAAATACAAAAGAGGCTCACATGGTTAGATTAATTGTGTACCTTGTTACATCGTAGAGCTTTTGATTTGAGCAGTGTTATAGAATTCCCATGCTTCACAGCATTTTTAGTGTTTGGTCTGAGAGACAAAGAGCGGCAATATTAGGACTGATACTTTATGATGCTTGAAACAAGTTTCCTTTTTGAAAAGGTAATGTTATTCTTGATGTAAAAGAGAAAATTTAGAATCTCAAGCAAAAATATCATTATCTAAAGCGTAACTGTAATCGGTATCAATCAAAATCTCATAGTCCACGAGAGGAAATTACAAATAGTTCCAGAAGAGAAACTTCTGAAGTGATGATCCGAGCCTTTAAAACAGTTAGTGAAGTTTAGTCGATGAATAAACCTAGTACATACCACTTATAAGCTAAATTCTTATAATTCAATTACTGGATGAAGTCAAAAACCCATCAATCTGACCTTTTGAAGTCCACAGAAGTGCTATGTGCAGCAGACTCAGCAGTTTGGCTGTTCGATAACTGCAATAACCAAACAGAGAGAGATTAGCTTCTATCAATTTATAAAGAGATTTCATCCTGTACCCTCTACATATAGAATCAATTCCGTGAGAAACTGAATACGACTAGCTAATTGTTGTAGAGTCAAATTTTCATATAGCATTTAAAATTTCTGTGTCGAAATTAGCTATCCTATATAGTGAAAGAACTCAGTTATATAGTCCTTTCCAAGCCAAAAGATCAGCAATCACATTACATGAAAATTTGGCGACCGCAGTGTGCTCTTCGGATGAGGAGGTTTGAGAATCTAGAGAAAGCACAAAGAACAAGTCTTAGTAAATTATGTGTCAAAGCTGTTTAATTGATTTTGTAGAGTTCAGGAAGAGAGCAGTATCTAAAACTACCAACTTTTATATTCAAGGGCTGTGCCTTTGAAGGTTGGCCTTTAGCTTTTGCATAATCACTTGACTCAGAATCATTCTTGGACCTGAAACTTTTAGATAACCCAAAAGTTGATCATTCAACTGTTAATGTTTCAAACCAAGATAAAGGGCTAAATAAACCAAGAAATCTACCCAGTTAAAATTGTGTAAGAATCTGAGTGTCAACCCAAAATCTTTTCACAGTGAGTAACGTAGCCAAAATTGGCTTTTATACCCTATATGTGACTTTAGTGCAACTTACAAGTGTGAGAATGGACTCACAAAAGGTTCATTTAAATACCATGAGAAAGTAAGATAATTGTTAGAGTGACTCAAGACCTTTATACTCAACAATAACATACCTTCGTCTTTGTGCCCTTTGCATGGTCTCCAGTTGAGGATCTCTAGGAACAGTGACCTTAAATTTAGAACGTGTCAAGTTAGAGAAACTTGAAACTAGGATAAATATTCTGTAAACTGCAATAAATATTCGCGTTAGACTTTTTTGGATATCTTGTGCAATAGCAGAACTTTGATGCTCAACATGGTTGGCAAGATAAAATGGTGACGATTTTTTTTAGCAGCTTAAATATTAGTAACAAAAAAAAGTGAAGATATTGTGTACATCCAGGGAATTTCAAGCTTTTAGCTGTGGTGGTATCTGACCATAATTACGAGCTAGTGATTTGATTGTCACTTCCCTCAAGTGGACCAAGTTCAAAGTGAACAAACAATGTAGTCCTTTGGCAATACCTTTTCAAGTTATCGAATCAGAACTCATAAGGCATTGCCACAAAGATGTAGGAAAAGAGTAGCCAAGGAAGTATGAAGTAAAAGTTTCAAATCTAAACTTGGAATACTAAAAGGAAAAAATATTAATCCTTTGGACGGAATTAAGGCAGATGGAACATTGAACTGAAAGTGGACAGAGAATTCAGAATTTCTTCCCTTCTGTTTTAAGATAGCTTTATAATTCATAGCACTTTCAAGCACATCATAACAGGAAATTATCAAAAAACAGTAACTAACTGCATGCACCTTGCGCAGATAACCACTCTCTAGCTTTTGTCTTTTAGTAGCTAAATTGTAAGATCCTGAAGAATTCCATGAGCTTCTCATATCGGTCTCGTTAGGTGGTTTCTGGGACCTAGCAATTGAAAAATTAGAAACAAAACAAAATCTAAATACTAAGTTAAGCCAAGTGAAAATCTAAATACTTAGTTAAAGAAAACACTAAAATATGGTTTGAGAAATAACCTACAAGTGAATAGGACTAACAAAGTGAACAGACTGGAACTGCAGAAACATACATAAGCCTGAAGAGAAATTTTTACAGTATATTTCCGCTTTGATTGGAAGTAGTTAGAGATCAGAAATCATTTGGCAAGAACGATTGGAAGAAAAGTAAACAAAGCCGCGCTTAAGCAACATAATATCACCTTGAAATGGATAAAACCTTTCAGAAGAGAAGTTAGAAAGTCTTTTTACACACCTTAGTTTAGCCAGATGACTAGCAGTGGGCTTCATTAAAGTTGACTCTCTGGCTTTCAAGGATCTGGGCTCTGACTTTATCTTAGCTTTAGAACTTTCATGAACCATTGGACTATTAGAAAATGTTCCTGAATTTGCAGAGTTTATACCAATTAGACTTTGTCATAATAAGGGAAACCCTGAAAAGCTTAGCCAACATGTAACTAGAAAGTCATTGCCAAAAGTTGTTGCTTGTAACCTAAGCCAACCTTCTGGGTAACTAGAGGATAATACAAAGGTTTTAATGAGATTGTGCATAAAAACACACCTTCATTTTTCGGTTTACAGGGTGAAACTGCAGAGTTAATATGAATATACGAGGTGTTGCTGCTTGATTTTGCAGTTTGCTCTTCTCGTAATCTAGAGGGACCACACGAACATTCTGCTGCGCTGTCCTTCACCAGGTTCAACTTTACAACAAGAGCTATGAAGTTCCAAAAGAAATAGGGGAAAAAAGAAAAAGTGAGGACAGTGATCAACCAGTATCACCCTACAAAAACTCCGGTTAGCGGATCAAGAAATAAAACAGATAAAGGGAAGAGCAAGAATTAGTGAATCAAAATTGCAGGAGTACGGAAACAACAAGTTACACACTGAAAGAAGCTTATTGATTAAGAAAATCTAGTGTTCCCTCTCTAATAGTATAATCTTTTAAGATGAGGTGGGTTATAAGGATAGCAAGGATCATGAACTTGAGCCTACCATCAACACTGATGAAGACATTCGCGTGTTTGAACCAAGACAAAGAACCATACTCTCACTCCAACTGCATATGGCTGACCTAAAATCAATAAATCAAAAAGTTCTTAACAGTTTAAGTTTCATATGAGGTGCTTACAAAGTCCAACAGTAAGCTATTAGGTGTGACAGTTTCCACATCTTTTCTCTCTTTCAAAATTACAACAATCACTTCCATGACATGTCCACTGTATATATCAGCATTCTCAGGTAAATGCCCCATCAATTCAGTAACCAAGCATTTTTTTGTTTTGCATAACATGAGAGTTGGCCTTTCTTTAACTTAAGTGACCAGAAAGTATTCAATGAGTCGTATGTATCGCTCATTTTTTTTCTCCAAATTAAAACC